TTGAGACTTGATGACAGGAACCTATTCCTTAGTATAATAAACTGGAGGTGGCACAGAAGCTAAAAAAGATCAAATATATAGCTATAGCTTTTAGAGAAGTAATGACATGTGATTGTTTGTCTTAGCAGGACTATTTCTATTTAAATAAGCACATTTCCCATGATTGCACATGGGCAACAGTATTCTTGTGCATATTTTGAAAACACTATTGCTTCTTCTCTGTTCCAATTCTTTCACTTTTTTTTATTCTTTTAATTTGAGTGTAAAACAGCTATCTCAGCTTTTAACATAAATTCAAATGGTAAACCTTTAGTGTCACAGTTATATATGGTATAAAATGCTAAATGCATCCTTTGTTTCCTATACCAGATGGAAACATGACAGTTCGTTTAGGTAATAGGAGAATGGCATCTGGTCCCATCCCAGCAAAGGTATGTTCAAAGGATTTAACGCAGGCTGACAGATGCTGGATCCAAACAAACACACAATAAGTCCATTATACAGAAAATGCAATCTGTTATTGCGAGTTCAAGAGGAAGGCACAAACTGTGCTTCCAGCACAGAGACACACACTAGCAGCTGACAGTAGGACGCAGAGTATGTAAACACTACTGTATATGCAAATATTTAGCAGCCCTGCTTAACATTCAGGCTTATGTGGGTTTTTGCAGATGATCAAATTAATTTGCTCCATCAACAGCCTGCATCATGTTTAGAGATGTGTCGAGGTTTGCACAAAAAAATACTGTACTGAGAATAATTGAGAATAATAAGAGATTTGCATAAATACATCAGAGGATATTTCATATCGAATTACAATCACGCAGTCGTGCTCCATAATCAGATCCCTTTGAATCAACGTAAATTACTTTTGCCACATGCGTTTACTCTAAACAGGGATTGTATAAGTAGCATTCATTTGCCACTAGACATGTTTGCAATTTCAATGAGGCTTCTCCCGACAAAACTCGCTTTAGTTTAGCACTTGGATAGAAGAGGTGGGCAAGTTGAGATTCTCAATGAGATTGAAATCATCTCAGATTTTAGGCCTTAAGTGATTATTACGCTCCTGCTTCCATGTGCCCCATGAGCGCTTTATTGATGGTTCCTGTTTCTCTGCTTGTGCCCAAAGGTGACCGGGCATTTGCTGTCTGATTCCCTCAGCTGTGGAACTCCCCACCTATCTCAGATTGGCACATGAAGATTTGATTACCACACATTTACTGCTTGTTTAGTGGGGACAAAAGAGCATTTATAGAACAAACCATAACAGAATTAAGTGACATGATTAACATTTTTCTTGGCAATTAAAGCAATCTTATCTTTCTTCTAGACATGCTGTTGCATGTTCGGAGGCAGCAGGCAGTATCTGCAGCCAAGCTTTGTGATATAAGACTCTCTCCAGTTAGTGCCCAGAATGTGAATGAAAAGGAGAAAGTGGACAACTTTCTTTTTTTTTTGTTATTGCTGTTAATAGCTTTCTTAACTTTGAGAGATGTGAATGGGTCCCTCAACAGCAGGCTGTGTAATGACTTGAAATTGAAAACAAACATTACACAGAGCTCAAGTGTCATTGGGTAAATTTAATAACCATCTGTACCAGTTCTGTGGTGCTCAGGCTGACTTTGTTTGACCTCAGTGGAGAAAAGCAAGCGAAAAGAAAAATTTCCCTCACCAATAGACAATATACATTAATTTCCTCTGGTGTATTTAAGCCACATTTATAGTCTGCTGTTTTTGTGGTTTTAAAATTTTAAAATTAAAATTTCATAATAAAAAAAAAA